CTCCGCCGGACGCACGCACCGGATACGGGCTTGCGGATGAGCATAGGAAAGGTGTGTGGGCTCCTGCTCCTTCTGGCTTTCGTTCTCTGTGTTTTTTTTTTAAGTGGAAATAAATTAAAAATGGGTGGCATCCTCCTATTCTGGCTTGCTGCGCGTCTCGACTGCGTCTGCCACACGCCTGCCCTGTCGCCTCGACGACGTTGCCAGCTTTTGGCTTCAGCTTCCAGGCTTCAGGCTTCGGGCTTCTGGCTTTCGGGTAGGTAAAACTTTTGGATAAAACAGTTGAACTTCAAAATGTGAATTTGATTAGGATATTTGCATAAAATTCTGTTTCTGCGCCAAGTACACTCCTTCCAGATCCACCTCCACCCTGCGTCCTCCACCCACAACCCTCACCCAACAGTCAGCCATAAAAAATCCCCAAGAACATAAGCCATGGGATATGGGCGAAGGTGGGAGGAGGTGCTGTAAGGACTACGAACGAACGGGCGCTTGAGAGCCAAGTTGTAGCGTATGTTCGCTGCCGGAAACGGAAGTATATAAGTCAACCTAGATTTGGTTTAGTAGCAGCTATCCTGATACCAAGGACAAATGGCCTTCCAGTCAGAAAACTTGTCGAAAAGCGGTCGCTCTCGAGTATCGCTTTAAGAAGAGAGGAATTTAAATATTTCATGCTTAAGGGAAGCGCCAAATAAGTTAAGGTGAAAATAACACCTTAAAAGGGAGTGTATCTTTAAAATTTTAGAACTTTAGAATTTACATGCAAAAAATGGAAGGGGTATTTCGTTGGGCACCTGCTTGGGGAGACTCTTGCAATGGGAAATCTCCAGCTTGGAATTGTGAGTATTCTAGAAAGAAAACTTTCTCTGTATCTGTATCAGACACCAATTTTTCCTTAATGAAACTCAAACTTTTTCCAATTTTGTTCTATTAAAAATGTAATTTTGTCATACTAGAAACTGTATCCATACCCTTCAAGTTCTTATTGTTCCTTAAAAATAATTACAAAACTCTTTCATCCTGAATGCGTAAAAACAATCCTTCAACAGCTATATGTGTTCTGACACTACTATCTCCAACGTTTCCATAATAAATTATCCTCGTATCTGCAGCGTCCCTAAGCTGCACATGTCCTTATGCAATCCCTTCTAATAATGTCCTGCCCCTTTGGCTAATGTTTCTATTATCTTTTCGTAATCCCTGCCTCATAAACTCTACCTTTCATAACGATTCAGCGCCCTCCCATGGCACCATAGGAGTCTTGGCCACAATTAGTCTCTTGTCCATAACTGCAGCTAATAGTTTCGTAAATAGTTTTTGGCCAATATTTACATGAGTTTGCCTTCGTCTACTGTTTGCTCTTTTTTGCTGTGTTCTTTCTGTCTTTTTGTCTTTTGCTACCATTGTGAAAATATTTGTCTTCAAATTGTGGCCCATTGTCTCTTGTCCGCTGACGAGAAGAGGCATGGGCATTGAGCATTGGGCCCTCTCGCTGTGCGTACGCATCCGCCGCTGCTGCTGCCGCTGCTGCTGCCGCTGCTGCTGCCGCTGCTGCTGCCGCTGCTTCTGCTGTCCGCGAGCCATCGTTGACGTGCGTCTGTCTCATCCTCTGCTTGGTTTTTTCTGTAAGGTATTTCGTCTGGCAGTCTGTCTCTTAGTTTTTATCTCTTTCTGTCTCTTAGTTTTTGTCTTCTTCTGTCTCTTAGTTTCTGTCTTTTTCTGACTTACTGTAATACCTCTCTATCTGCCTTACAAAACGTGTTCATTACAATCCTCCGTTTGTTCGAGCGCTGCTGCCGTTGCCGTTGCTGCTGCCGCTGCTGCTGCCTTTGCCGCCGATCGGCCAAATGTGTCAGAGCTGAAACGTCATGATTAATGATGCAAACATGTGGGCCCTGGTCGTCCGTCTCCGGCTCCGACTCCGACTCAGAGCCGTAGTAGACATAGCCCCGGACTCGGAGACTCGGCTCAGAGACAACGATGAATGCGTTTACGAGGGCAGAGACAAAAACAGCCCGGGGATAGGGCAGGGCTTGGAATGGGTCTGGGGTCTGGTCTCTCCTCTCTGGGTCTGGTAATGGGAATGGGAATCGGTACAATTTCATCAAGGTAAATTAGAAGACGAGACCAAAAACACGAGCACCCAAAATGTAAACATCGAACACTCGGCCGCCCAACACTCTCTGAACATTAGGCGAAATTAGAAATTAATCCTGCCACTGCAATCGAGGGGGAACGGAGCCCACAGTTGCAGAGGTAGAGGGAGAGACACTATCTGAAGGTCTCTGCTGCATGGGGGAGTGTTTTTTTTGTGTTTTGTTTCTGAAGGCGGAACTTTAGAGGTCAGGGCAAAATTAATGGTAAATCCTCATGACGGACAAGCTGGCGCGTAGTCGTCATAGATGATCTATTCGAGGAGGTTGTTGGAAAAAGTAAAAGAACAATTGAGGAAGTCTCAAATTATACTTATCGTTGGACAAAAGGATAGCCAACATTAAATTTAATGTGGGGTAAAGTTTAGCCATAGCCTGAGAAGAGTTATTATTAGAGAAATGGAAACTGAAAGGGAATTTGAAGACTAGAAAAGTTTAGGAATAGTTTTGTTGGCTATGTCTAGATATTTGTATCTATAGCTCATATATTCGAGGGTTTGAACATAGTTTTTGACCAGCAAATGCTGGTGCATATTTTTGACGAGTCTGCAGTATTTTATTTTTTCCATGTACCTTTTTAGTCCTCTATGTAGATGTATTGCATAAGTCTTATGTATCCCATGGCGTTTTTGTGTGTGCTCTTGTTGGTTCGTTGTGTTTGCATTAGAATCCTGTGAGGTAACCGACCGACAGCCAGCCAGCCAATAACCACACGACAATGCCCTGACCTCAGCAGCAGAGTCCTTACACAAACACACAGGGCACACAGGACACGTGGGAGAGAGGGGGGGGGACACACGCTCTTGGCCAAGCGAGTGGTTAGCGTTTTGAGGCCCAACGGGTGGCGGCAGGCGGGAGGTCGGTCCATGTACAGTGGTGGCGGTTTGCAGGGGAACTGACTGGTGTGTGTGTGTGTGGGGCAACCGATACAATAATTGCTCTGGGGCCCCGGTCTTTGTTGCGGTCTTTGCCGTGAATTATAAAAAAGCAAAGGAGAAAAAAACTACGAAAGAAAGAAGGAAAAAAAGCACACGAACAAGAACCGGGTATGTATAAAAAAGCCGCCATGCCAAAGCCATTCATTCATTCATGCTCGTGCATATGCCGGTGCTTTAACACACAGATACACGCACACACATTCACACTCACACGTGTTGACAAGGGACGCAGGGGCCAAGTCATGCAATGGTCAGGAACCTCTGACATGTTCTTTTCGATCAGACAACGACCACCACTGAAAGGCCACGAAAAAAACACGAGAGAAGTTCATGAGAGAAAGAGGGATGGACTGATGGAGAGAGGGGATGAATAGATGGGGGAGGGAGTGTGGTGGCCCAGTGTTTGTCATTGTGGGTATTCATGCAAGTGTTGCTTGCCCTTTCCATGTTCCCAGTGTGTTTGTGTGTGTGGAGTACCTCAATCATGTAATTATTTCCTCCGCAACGACCGCCACTACCAATACCACAAAAGCGTATAGAGAGCGGTGGGAGAGAGTATTGAGTGCTGGTCAAGGGAGAGAGGTGTGTACAGAGGTACACTGGAAGAAAAGATAAGCCAAATAGAACATTAGCTTTAGATGAGGAGAGTCTGGATATTCATACAGCCAAGCTGTAACTTTAGAGAATCATATATTTAAATCAAGAAATAAATTTCTATGATTGAGAAGTATTTGAGCGTGGATAAATCATGTTTATGACATTAAATGAGATGGTCATCCCACATTTTGTATCTAAGGTATTCAAAGATTGGTTCAAGAGCAGATCCAAAAATATATTTACTTATTTAATTTAATTTGTAAGTTTCAACTCTTTGGTTTAATGACTTATTTCTGTATCAAATACAGCTCACAAATAGTTTTAAATTTTTCTATTACACTAAGCCTTGTTTTTTCTTCAGAAATCATAATAATTTTTGTTCTTGTCTGTATAACTAAGCCCAAAAACTGGTAGCGTGTTTGGTTCTGTCTATGTACAGCAATATCTTACTCCTCCTACCACTACCCCTCCCCCACTCCACTACTAAAACAAAAACATGAAATAGGAATGGTCTACATATACCTACATACATAAATACATATGTACATACAAATAAACATACTTATATTTCTTCTATATTTATGTACACATATATTTATGTACCTCTTCTCAACCTTCAATGTCTGCTGCAAGGCATTAAAAAACTTTTCGTGTTTTTGTTACTCAATTTAATTCAGGTAAAAATTTGTATGGTTTTTTCTGTCTCTCTTGTCTGATTCTCTGTTTGTCTCTGTGTTCCGTACCTACCCGTTCCGTTCCCAAAGAGCAGACTTAAACTTTGGTCACGAACATGAAAAAGCGACGTTTCCGCTGAAACCGTCTCCAAAATGGTCATCCGCTTGATTGGTTCACTTTTTTGTTGTTTTCTTCCCTGTTTAGGTTCACTTTTTTCTCGGTTTGGGTCAACTCTAGATAATTTCGATACACAAAATGGTCGCTCGAGAAAACAAGTCCCTCATATATTTCTACAGAAATTATATTTGGTTTTTTTCAAGCGAAATTATTATACAATAATTATTGAAATTTCATGAATTTCGTTTTGCGGTTTTTTGGCAAAAGCTTCTTCTATAGGCTGGCAAAAATGTTTTTAATAACATTTAATCAGGGCTTTTGCGGTTTTGAGGGATCTACTACCTTGAAGCGAATTATCTGTCTCATACAGCGAATGCAAAATGTATTTTTGGTTTCTTTGGGTATATCGCGTATATTCAGGCCAATTGAAATATGTTTTTGTTTTGTGGTTAAAAAAAATATATTGTATGTTGCGCAATGGATGAGTAATCGTATTGTTTCTTGTAGGGGCAGTACTTACTTATGGAGTTATCACCTGAAATGGAGATACAGAAAGATAGTTTCGATTAGAAAATTACAATAAATTGTATGTGAGCGTTGGGCAAAAGAAAATATCCCTCCCAAAACAATTAAACTCTAGTAAAAATTCAACTTTCTCCCTCAAGAACAAACGCCATCTTTAACTGTAGGAATATCAAAGATAACTGCTAGACTGAATCGACAGACAAAATGCCAGTCACATTCATGAGCTTCCATGTATAAATGGGAATGGGAATGTTCCCTGATTATCGAAACAAAAATATTTGCTAATCATGCAGATGGTGCCCCATCCTTTGATGCTGCTGCTGCTGCTGCTACCACACCAAAAATATCAAATACTGCTTATGAAACTGCATAAACTTGGGCTCCAGTTGGAAACCCCAAAGCCCCCACTCGGAATTAAGTTCCAGACGTTATTATTTCCGACAGCATGATTTTATTTGCCTTCCACCCATCTTCATCACCATCGTCATCATCTTCCAACCCCTTAGCTTCCTTCCAATAATAGACTGCGGAGAACTTTGCTTCCTTGAGACATTCTTGGACTGGGGAACTTCCCCTCTGTTTTTGCTATCGAAACTTCTCAATTAAGTACTGAGGGACCAGCAGGAAACTCCTTGGGGGTAGTGTCCACTTGACCGCTCGTTACGTGCTGCATGTGTCGACTGTGGAAACTTCCGCTTACCAAAAACTTTGAGGTTAATTATTTTCCACTTTTGAGCCAAGCTTAACTTCAAAGAAAGAAAGTTTGCCATAACACACATGTGTACAGGGGGTTCTTTATGGAAAAAAAACACTGCAGCTCAAAAAATATACAAAAAGAATGCAGATACTCGTATGCAATGCGATGCATCACAGTCTGCTGCTGCCCTTACAGATGACTGGAAACTATGTCGCAGGAGTCTTAAAATATTTACACACATCGACGAACATTTAATGGTTTTTTGGGTGCCACTTTTTATGTGCAATCATTTATTCTCTCAAAAGGTTACATAAAGTCCTTTCAAGTTTGGTTAAGCTGTTGTTAAAAGGTACAAATATTGAATGGGAAATCAATAAGAACCTGAGGAACTAAAGAGCTACGGAAGGAAAGTAAGGTAAAGGATTGAATAAGGAATAGGTTCAGATATAAAATGTTTCTCAAATTATTATTCAGCTTAAAGATTCGCTTAATGTTCTTTGCTGAATTTAGTAAATTTTTTGTTATAATTAGAGTACGTTTTAGCTTCCTAATTTTGTTAGCTTATCTCCGTTCTTTTATAATTGAAAAAATCTTCATTACCATTTAGCTGCCACTCCATTGAGCAGCAACTTCATTACTCCCAGACTTTCGCTAGTTCCACCTCAAATCACTTTCTAATCATACTCAAAGACCATTTACCTAATTGAAAAGAATGTTTGCAGCAATATCCATCCATCTACAGATGAATACTTCTACAGTTTAAAATTCCAATTCAAGGCAACGCCTTGGACAGTTTTTTCGTTTGGGAGAGTGTTATCGTTTCCCATTGCCATTCGTTGTCTGGAGGCCCATGTCCATGACTGACAGTCGAGTAGGTGTGACCATGCTACTCATTCATTCTGACAGTTTTCCCACCCACTCTTGCACACGAAACGCAATTTGTTGGATTGTGGGCTGTGCCCCATCGAGGGAAAGGTACAACCACCACCACCACCAACAGTACTATGGCTAAAAGGGAGGGGCAAGGGCAGGGACACGGGGCAGCAGGTAGTCAGGCAGTCAGGTTTTGGTGGCTTGTGGCGCCAAAAAGCATTTCTCGCAGGTCGCAAGTCGCGTGTCTTTTTGGCTCAGCGTTTCTTTCAGTTCTTTCTTCTTTCTCTCTGTGGTGCTTATTTTTTTTTTGTTTTTTGGGATTCTTGCAACTAATTTTCATTTCCAGCAGAGTGCACCTTTCGCCAGCAGACAATATGGAGAGGCTAGAGAGGAGCTTGGGCTGGAAAGCGAAGGAAAATCTTATTAAAAAGTGAACAGAGTGCGATAAAATTGAATTTGCATTCAAAAGCCATTAACCGCAGCAGTCACTCAGTTCTGCCTCTCCACCAAAACCAACTCTCCCTCACCCCCTCTCGCTCTCTCTCCCAGTCCATTTATCCTCTCTTTTTGGGGCAGAATTAAAAATAAGAAGTGAAAATCCTTGAACCGCAGCTTCAATGGTAAACGAAATTATTATTTCAAGCACATTTATAGTGGCGATATTTTTGCATTGTTGACATCTGTTGGGTCATAAAAATATCCAGACGTGATATATCCATATACCCAATAATTATTCTAGATATCACTCGACCGGAAAAATATTATTTTAATTGCATATCAATTTCACGCTCTTTAGGCCCCCAGGTAGGCTCTATCCATCCACATCGTAGCAACAAATTGTTCGAAAAATCATTGGGCCAATGATCTGAACGATGGCACCACTTTTCCACCACTCCACACCACCTTTCCTGCACCATTTTCCTCCCAAAACCCAGTCATCAAATTAAAGCTAAACTATTTTGGGTCCGGTCCCATTAAAAAGTTCATGGAACCATGGACCTCAATCCCTCCCCCTGTATTGGTTCATGATTGTCCCACTTACAGCCATTTTTATGCCATATTACATCTATCACGTTCCATTTGTCCAGGAGGATTGTGGGTACGAATTTTAATTAATAACTCCAAAAAGAGATTTAATTTGTGTGTGTGTGTGTGTGTGTGTGTGTGTGTGTGTGTGTGCATTTACTTTTATGTTACGGACCTTCAATTATTACAGTTTATTATTCAAAACGAATCATTCGTTGGCGGCACCTGTCTGTGGGAAATGTGGTTTACAATTTCATTATTTTGGATACGAGAATATGTTATTTAAGAAATTATCAATACGTGATTGGGCATATTTGAAGGGAAATATTAAACAACAGAAACAAAAAATACTAAATTTGTCTCTTGATAGCTTAAAGTAATATTAAAGTAGTCTAAAACTTCGATTTAAAGCCTTAAATCCTGTGCAATCGATCAATCGATCAACCATCTGATGTAAGGTTGACATAATTATTGCTCTCTTGGATTGCTTTCGCTCATCGCATGTCAATTAAAATCACGATTTTCAATGCAAATCAATCAAAGACTTCTGGACCTCAGAGAGAGAGAGATGAGGAGAGAGAAGTCAACCCACCAGTGAATCAACAATTGATGTATGGGCTGAGAGAAAAAGATTTCGTTTTCGGTTTTTTTTTTTGGCAAACATGTCAGACCGTTTACAGATGACAAATTCATTTTTAACACGGCACAAAAGTGAAAACCAAACCAGGGAGAGATATAGATACACAAAGAGAGGGATACTATGTGCTCTGGCCAGCTTAATCATCGGCAGCATTTACAATGAGACATTGCATTGCAGATTTCCCAGAGAGAGACAGAGAGAGTGAGTCGCTTATGTGATATGTCTGACATTTGACTACCATTCTGTTCGCCCTTCCCTCCTTTGACTATCTTTGTATCGTGTATCTGTAACATGTGCATCGCATCTATTCCCAGCATATCGTATCAAAAATTAAAGATTCTCTTGCCAGACTCCTGTTAAACGGAAGCTTAGCCTCAACCAAAAAAAGGTCAAGTCCAAAATGATGGATGATGCCTTGACACTCACTGACACACACACACACACACACACACACACATTATGTACACACACACATATGTACATTTGCAGCAGCATCCCCAAGTGACAGCTTTCGGTCTGTTCCGCCCTTTGGTAGCACTCTTTTTCGGGGTTGTTCGTTCCAATACACTTCCAAAGAACCTTATCACTCAGGTAATATCCGCTTTTCAGACTTGGTCTCTACATAATTTTGGTTTATCATCCAGCGAAATCCCATAAATAATAACCGTTAACACAGTGCTCAACAAGCCACAAATTAAAAACTACAAGAAGCACTAAAAAATGTTTGAAAATTCTTGGGAAAATTTACGACCAACGGAATCACGTGTCAACCACGCGCGCCACACCCTACACCCCACACCCCACACCCCAACCCCCAAACTCGAACCTCTCACCTCTGTCGAAAACGAAACCAAAACCCAAACTCAAACCGAATCCTTAAGGATGTGACTGGAACCCCTCCCAATGTTTGCAGGGGTTTCCGCAGCTGTAGATATGATACATGACTCGACGGAAAGCGGTGTGTCGTCGTCCTCTCAAGGATATTCCCATTCACGTGCTAAGCGTATGCGAAATTTTAAATCTGTTTGCCACCGAATGAATCCGTATCCGTTTTGTGAATTTGAATAAGGAAGAGGAATCCTTACGCCGAAAAACTGTGGAAAGTCAACAGGCGCACACACACACAGATAGAGTGAGAGAGAGCGAGAGCGAGAGAGGGAGAGACGATGACAGCACACATAAAATCCATTTTCCACACAAACATTAGTTTTATTTAAATCAGAGACACACACACCGCCTGTAGGGGTTAACCGGGGGTTATCCAGGGGTTACGAAGTTATCATATGTGAGATAGAGTGGTTGTGTGTGTTTGTGTCCTTGTTGACTTTTCACGCTCTTTTAAACGCCGTTAAATATATTTCACTTTATTGCCTGTTGTTCTTGTGGCTGCCTCCTGTGGGAAGACCTTTTGTCTGAGTTTTTACATTAATCAGAGATTTAAACTAGGTTTTCAAATGATATGATATACATATTTATAATAAATTAATGTTTCTGGGCTGCGATTTATGTATTTGCGTATTCGGGGTGTGATGTGAGGGATAACAGGAAATAACTTGAAGGTAAAATGTATCTCTTTTTGGGATATCTTAATTAAAGTATTAATGAACAATTATGGGAAAGCCTAGCCATTTCGTGGGATTTCATCTTGGGTTTAATTCTAGAACGCTAATGAATGTTAGGGACTTTCAATATTGAGTTTGAGTAATGGGATTTTCCTAGATATGGAGCTTATCCTGTAGGGCAGCATTGCTCCTACATCTGGAACAAAGGAAGC